AAGGATCCCAGTTCCTTGGAGGTGCATTTAAATCATAGTCTCAATTTATTACTCAGAAAATTCCCACTTAAAGGGTGAGAGCTGAGATGGCGTCCTTCAAGCCCTGCTGGCTCTCCTGTCATCGTGAAATGGGAGCAGAAGATTAGAGGGGGAGGGAGGGGTAAATACTAAATTCTGGTCTAATCCAATCTCAAACAGCTGGAGATACATTCCTTCTAAGACATTTCTGTTCAGAGCAGATGACACTAAAAGGAATAGGACAAGCATGAATGGCAAGGATCTTTAAAACGTATCATTTAAGCTCTAAGAATTAGTTTCTATTTTCTATCAAGTAAATCAGCAGTTTGCCACATTATGCACATTTATATACAAAAAGGCAAATTTGATCAATTTAATGGAAATTACCCTGTTCTTAGTGCAGTTTTTCATGGTAAATTAGGCTACATGGTCAATAAATTGTTATTTTATGTTAAAATGTGGCCCATTATTTGAATGTTAGCTTTCATTAGAAGTTTGCAGGTGACTAGCGACAAATGCCACTTTTCTTTTTAAAATAATACATCGAAGTGGCAATTTCACACAACTCAGTGTTTAATGAAGTGCAATAAAATAATCCTTCATACTGTCATTAATTAGGAGATCACAGAAGCACAAAATGCATATGCACAGGGCACATATCAGAGGTGCATTCATTTTATAAAACGCTCATTTAATTTTCCGCTTTTCTTTTTATTTCACTTCAAAATAAAAAGGTGGGAAATTTTCATAATGGCAAAAAAATATGCTGAGATTAAATACAAACATTTAAAAGCACATTTATTAGAATATTGTATGCAGAACTGGTAATTTAAACAATACGTGGTAGAAAATAAATAATCTCCAATTAATATTTTTGAATAAAAATGCTTTAGTTTTTAAATATAAACATTCAAACTGAGTTAATCTTCAACATTTGTTTTTCTTCATCTCAGTTAAGGTGAATCAATAGGGCGAGTGACTTTCACACTCATTTCCATGCATCTCTTTTAACTCATTTTTCATTTGTGTCTGTCTCATTTTATAATAAAAGTCAACATTTTATGCAGCCCCCAGATTAATATTAATAAATAAATAAGAAGGAGCGTTCAGAGAAACTACGGATGCGAGAGGATTATCACAGCCCACTGCCCCTGCACTGAGAGCATGTCTCAGTATGCTACTTATCTTATTTCTTCACATAAATATAAAACGAATCCTCTTTAAACAGCCTCAAATACAAAAGAGTTAAAAAATAGCAAGCAGGTTTAAAATATTGCCTTAACTATAAAATTGTTGAACAAGACATGATTTTCATCAGTTACGATATAATTCATTAGGAAGTTCTTTTTTGTCTGTTTTAGGAGGGGTTTTTTGTCCCAGCAGGTGGAAAAAAGCCCAGAAAGCAGAAGAATGCATGATGATTATAATGGAGCGTTTGCACATCTGAGTAAGCACGTCTGTCCTTTAACAACGCTTTTTCAATTTTTTTTAAATCTTGCATCTGGCATTAAGTCATGGCCAATTTGCATCAAATATGTTTCATCCCTAGAACACAGCCATCTACTTTAAGATAAAAAAAATAAATAAAAAAAACAATTTAGGCCATAGTTCTATGGAGCAACGTGTACCAAAAAAAAAAAAAAAAAAACAAGAAACACGCAAAAAATAAATAAATGCAATTACAGTCATGGCCGATCTGCTTCATATATGTTTTGTTCATACTATGAAATGGCCATCTACTTTAAGACAAAAAATAAAATAAAAATGTTGACCTTAGACCTAGGACGAGAAAATGAAAGAAAAACAAAACTTAACTGAGTGAGGTAGAAAAGTGTATAAAAAGAAGAGCATCACAGCTGCTTTGTGTCCTGAGGAAAGGCCTGCTTGTGTCACTGTGTGCTTATAGGCTCGGTGTGTGGAAAGCTGAGGTTGCTGCAAACTTCAAAACTAATTTCATGTTTGTACTGTATGTGTTCAGCTTTCCTCTGTGTGTGTGTGTTCAGTGTTCCTTTCTGCTCCTGGCCGGCATGGTGCTGTTAGTGAGTGGGCGCTATAGGGAGGCAGGTCACTGGGCAGCCAGCAAAATTATGTCCAGGTCACAGATGCAGTGTGTGGAACCTGCCCTTATTACTGCACTGTTTCCCTCCACTCCTCATACACACATAAGAGCCATACCATTTTAGCCAAGCGTGGTGCTGTGCTCATGACGATATTAGCCTGCTGATTTTGGTGCATTGCATGAACATGTTTTTGTTTTAACAATACTTTGTTTTTCTCCTATCATGGAGACAATGCATGTATTATTATGTCATATTTATCTATCTAAGGAGGCCAGCAGACAAGTTGAAGCTTGGCTTTGTTGCAGTATCCCATCCTGAGCAAGTACAGTGGCAACAGTGGGAAGGAAAAACTCCCTTTTAAAAGGAAGAAACTTCCAGCAGAACCAGGCTGAGGACAAGCGGCCATCTGCTTCGACCGGCTTAGATAGAAAACTTTACTAATTGGCTTTTATGTATGTGAATGTTTCTGTAAAGTGCCCTGAGACAACTTTGCTGTGAGTTGGCGCTATATAAATAAACTGAATTGAACTGAATATTTTAATACCAACAAACTGATATACTAAATAAAACAATCAGAATCAGAACTGGGTTGTTGAGGTTTAGGGTTGCAAAGGAGACAAACAAAAGCTGATACATTTCCAGAAACTTTCCTTGGAAGGTTAAAATGGAGAATTTAGCAAACAATCTAAATTGAAACTTTCCATAATTATGATTGAAATTACAATTCTAGTTCACTTGAACAAACTGTATCATATACAAACAAAAATACAAAATATATTGGTTTTCTTAGGCATATGTCACAAGCAAATTTCAAGTTTCACCAAAAGTTAAAGCAACTAATTCAATTACCCAATACCTATATGATGACATCACTGCATCAGAGCCACCTACCCTTTCTATTGTTTTATAGTTTTTTATGATAATTTTTGTTGTTTTCTAAATTTATGCTCAAACTTCTTACAAAAACATTCACATTTTCATAATTTTGTCATTGCATTAACATAAAAAAACAAACTAAAACTCATACATTGTATATCACACAAACCACTGACATGTCTAAATTTACATATAGAAAATGTCAACTGTATTTTTTCACGACGCTATACAAAATCATTTTACTGTAATATTTATTGGTTTAGCCTTTATTTAACCAGGTAAATCCCACTGCGATCCTAGAGCTATTTTTAAGGAGGACTGTGCCTGAAGGACCGTAGTACGGTGGCCTCGAGGTGTAAATAAACATTTGAAAAAATGCAATTACATTAAGCCAAACCACCTCAGGGGCACCATAACTCAATTCAATTCAAGTCAATTCAATTCAATTCAATTCAATTCAAAAATACTTTATTAATCCCAAAGGGAAATCATTTGTTGTTGTAACTTGTTATCCTCATTTCATTAAGATATGTTATAGATGCTGATGGCTGTAAGCAGGACGGATCTCTTGTAAAGGTCCATCCCACAGTGGATCCTAAGAAACTGGCTGCAGATGCCGTTCGATCTGTCCACCCAGTCTCGGCTGGCCTCTCGGTTCCCCCGGGCTGTAGGACCGCCTGAATGCCAGGCAGAACTCCTCCCAGAGCGATGGCCACTCCTCCCAGCAGTCTGCCGAGGTCCTCGTCGCTGTGGACAGCCAACTGTAGGTGCCGAGGGACGATCCTGTTCTTCCGCTGTCATGAGCCGTGTTTCCTGCTAGTTCCAGGATCTCAGTGGTCAGGCACTCGAGCACAGCTGGCAGGTAGATGAGAATGCATTTACAGAGCCTCCTTTTCAACTCATTTGAGAATTGGGGCTGTAGTTGATATATTATTTGAGCTTTTGAGATGTTAATCAGCTGCTGTTGGTTGTAGAAAACTGCCTGGTTACGCATCATAACAAATGTCCAAAACTAAAAAAGTTTCAGTAAAAATCCTTCCAGCTGCACAGCATCTGATACCAGAGGAAACAATCATCCAAAAGATGTGCTTTACATCCAGAAAAAGAGTGATTAACGTTTCCAAAAGCAAAATCTCAGAATGAAAGTAACAGAGATGCTCCAACATGCAGCCACCTTGAGTGGCGCAATTCTAGAA